CATTTCGCCTGTAAAGGAACACCCCCTTTTTGTCCTCCAAAACCCTAACTTCCCTCCTTTCCTTCTCAATTTTCTTTTCTTCTATTTTTCAGATCCCGCCACTTCTAGCGAACACGGTCACTCTTCTGACGCCGGTACAACTGCGACATCACAATCCCCTACTCACCAGCCTATTCCTCATTCTCCTTCTCGCTCAGTGGAGGAAATTTACGCTCCTGTTCGTCTCAACGTTTTACGCCCTTCCGATTACTCGACACCACCTTCTTCTCCCCGACCTCATCGTCTGATTGATGAATCAGACGAAGATACTCTCGACAACATGCCCTTCAGTCACCGTCGACCAGTGTTCGGGGCTCCTGACGCCGCTGAAGCAGCTCTCGATGCTACTGAGGCCGCCGCTGAGAAGAGCGAAGATGATGTTCCCCTCTCTCAACATTCCATTTCTGCCAAAGTCGCTTCCTCGAGTAACCCGAAGCCAAGCACTCCTTCTCAATCCACCGTAAAACCTTCGGCCACCCTTGCTTCAAAAACCCAAACCAGTCCTCCTACTGCTTCTCCCAAACTGGCCAAAAAGAGAAAATTGGTCAAAGTTTCTTCTTCGCTGCAAGCACCTCTTCCTTCTCTCGTTGCAGGATGACTGGACACTGATGTTGTCGGTCATCCTGTTGGTTGGGTCTTTAGGTCTCCCCATTTCGGGGATACTAATGACCATCCCCCCGAAAATAACTATACTTTTTTCGAGATTCAGTTCAAACTTGGGGTTCGTTTTCCCTTGTGCCAGGATTTGCTCGACCTGTGCAAGTGGTTCGAGCTCCCATTGAACCAGCTCCCTCCTAACGCCATCCATTTTATAACCATTTTCATCATCCTCTGCCATATCCGTCTAGGTCGACTCGACCTAGACTTTTTCCATTATTGTTATACGCCTTCGAAATCTTCTCACGGGCTCTATCTCAAGAGCCATAATGATGTCCATTTCATTTCGGACACTCCTTCAAATGTTCCTCGATGGAAAGATAGGTTTCCTTTTGTCAAGCCTAACGCTTGGGCGCCGACTCCATGGCTTAAAGAGCTGAAGCGCGAGCAAGCGCCGCCTGCTGAAAACACTTTAATCGACCAACGGATTACAGTATGGAACCGCAAACCCGTTGCCTCCCTAACCCTTCTTGCAGACGAAAACCTTTTGCATTTTTGTGGTCTTCTTACCCACAAGTCCCTGTCTCCTCCTACCCAAGAAACCCTCGACCTCATCCCAGTCGAAAACGACCCAAGTATTTATTGTGAGATATGCTCGAGTATTGTTGTGTTTGTCTCGCATACTGTTTATTTGTTATGATGTTAATTTCGCTCGTGGTTATCTTCTACAGAGATGCCCGTTCTACCGATTCCCAAGAGGAGGATTCCTCTAAAGAAGAAGCCAACTGAGGGGTCGAGTTCAAAGCCTGCCGGCTCGACAACCTCACAATCTACTCGTTCCGCCTCGCCTCCTCCTGAGCATGGGACTTCCTTCATAGAGGTAGATCCTTGTCCTCTCCCCACGACTGAGCCCATTGTCGAGGAACCGTCCTCGACCAATCTTTTTGTCGACTAGCAACCCGAACACCATCACCAGCTCGAACAACCCGAGCAACCTGCAGCTTCTCCACCACCTTCTCCTCCTCGTGGGTCTACCACCCCAGTTATCCATATTCCTGCTTCTCCCGAGGAGACTTTGCTCGAGGAGAATCGACTCAAGTGTCCCCCTTTTGAGGGGGATGAAAGTGCTAGCAAGCGCCGTCGCTTCGAGGAGACCGCAACCTCGATCACTACACTTGACGGCACGGTGGTATCACACTTACTCAGAGATGTTCTCCCACCCGTCGACCTTCCTACTGACCGTTATAATGACGATCATACCCTTCGTGATCGGGGCAATCGTATTGCCCGATGGCTGGCTCAGTAACCCATTGTAACTTGATATTTATCTATTTTATTTCACTTTCCCTCATTATTTGTGCCCTAACTCTTCTTTATATGTGCTTGTATAGGGAATGGTCGAACTCACTCCGCTGATCGAGTAGACCCTAGCCAGCGCGAGCCGCTCCATCCCAGTGATCGAGCGAGGTTCTCTCCTTCTCAGTGATCGGGTGGATGAGCTTGTCGTCAAGAGTCATGCGCTGCAGCAGAGACTAAAGGAGTCGGCTACCAAAAATAAAGTCCTCTCCTCCGAGAAGGAAACGCTCGAGGGGGCCCTCAAATCCTTCGAGGAGGCGCTCGCGGCTGAGCGAGCAAAATAGGAGGCCCTTATAGCTGCTTTAGAGGCTGAGGGGGCCAAGCAGAAAGCCCTCGAGGCCGCGCTCAAAGAAGAAAAGGCGGCTCGAGCACGTGAGAACTTTGCCTTCGAGCAGAGGCTAAGCCGTTGATTGATGAAGATGCTCTTCGGGCACGGAGGGTGGTCTTCCACGCTACTGCCGGCCAACGCTTCCTGCAGAATTATCGCGAGCAAGTGGTGGCTGCCTTCAAGCAGTCACTACAGTATCTGGAAGACGTGCGGGCATATGGCACCGACTGCTTCGGGGCTATCATGCAACAAGTGGGGGCCCAGATAGCTGAGGATGATTTTGTGGAGTTCAACATGGAAGCTATCTGGGCCGCTATGCCCAAGGTCCCCGCCGGCTATCAAAGTGCTCTCGACCTACCTGCCGACCATGACTGGTGGTCGGGCCTCTTCGAGCTCGTCATAAATAAGGACGACCTGCTGAGGCGTAACTTCAAGCTACCCGACGGTTATACTTCTCCCCTTGCTCGTCAGAACCCGCCATCCAATGGGGCTGGGTCGACGTCTAGCTCGAGCTAACCGGTTGAGCTAGTGCAGCAGCAGGTCGAGCCACCTCGGAGGCAAACTTCCAACAACAGCAATGCCAATGTTGAGCGGACCGCCAAAGACCCTGCTAATGCCTCCTCTTGAAGATGTTGTCACTTTAATTTTCGCTGAACTCTGTACTCCTTCTTTCCGTTAAATGAATATCATTCTTGTTGTAATGTGTGAAGTTTTCTCGATATTTCTTGATTATGCGTCTGCTGATATGTTACTTTGTATGCTGCTTTTGTATGCTGCTTTTGTATGCTGCTTTTGTTGTTGACAAGCCTGCGCTGTCGCTATGTGTCGATGTCATTTTCGCCGATTACTTAAGTTACACCTTTTATCTACTTGATTAATCCTGGTGAATTAATAGATCTCGATGACTTTAAATTCCATTTAACACATGTCCACCCTCACAGGGGTGGTCGATATATGCGACCACACAGCCTGTCGGCCTTAAACATGATGGTTTTATGTTGTCGAACACATGTCCCTCCTCACAGGAGTGGTCGATACATGCGACCATCCAGCCTGTCGGCTTTAAACATGATGGTTTGATGTTGTAGAACACATGTCTACCCTCCAAGGGGTGGTCATTACATGCGACCATCCAGCCTCTCGGCCTTAGTCATGATGGATTTTTTGTCTTCGAACACATTTCCACCCTCAGAGGAGTGGTCGTTACATGCGACCATCCAGCCTCGCGGCCTTAGTCATGATGGATTTTTTGTCTTCGAGCACATGTCCACCCTCAAAGGGGTGGTCGTTACATGCGACCATCCAACCTCTCGGCCTTAGTCATGATGGATTTTTTGTCTTCGAGCACATGTCCACCCTCAAAGGGGTGGTCGTTACATGCGACCATCCAGCCTCTCGGCCTTAGTCATGATGGATTTTTTGTCTTCGAGCACATGTCCACCCTCAAAGGGGTGGTCGTTACATGCGACCATCCAGCCTCTCGGCCTTAGTCATGATGGATTTTTTGTCTTCGAGCACATGTCCACCCTCAAAGGGGTGGTCGTTACATGCGACCATCCAGCCTCTCGGCCTTAGTCATGATGGATTTTTTGTCTTCGAGCACATGTCCACCCTCAAAGGGGTGGTCGTTACATGCGACCATCCAGCCTCTCGGCCTTAGTCATGATGGATTTTTTGTCTTCGAGCACATGTCCACCCTCAAAGGGGTGGTCGTTACATGCGACCATCCAGCCTCTCGGCCTTAGTCATGATGGATTTTTTGTCTTCGAGCACATGTCCACCCTCAAAGGGGTGGTCGTTACATGCGACCATCCAGCCTCTCGGCCTTAGTCATGATGGATTTTTTGTCTTCGAGCACATGTCCACCCTCAAAGGGGTGGTCGTTACATGCGACCATCCAGCCTCTCGGCCTTAGTCATGATGGATTTTTTGTCTTCGAGCACATGTCCACCCTCAAAGGGGTGGTCGTTACATGCGACCATCCAGCCTCTCGGCCTTAGTCATGATGAATTTTTTGTCTTCGAGCACATGTCCACCCTCAAAGGGGTGGTCCTTACATGCGACCATCCAGCCTCTCGGCCTTAATCATGATGGATTTTTTGTCTTCGAGCACATTTCCACCCTCAAAGGGGTAGTCGTTACATGCGACCATCCAGCCTCTCGGCCTTAGTCATGATGGATTTTTTGTCTTCGAGCACATGTCCACCCTCAAAGGAGTGGTCGTTACATGCGACCATCCAGCCTCTCGGCCTTAGTCATGATGGATTTTTCGTCTTCGAGCACATGTCCACCCTCAAAGGGGTGGTCGTTACATGCGACCATCCCTTTATATGGTTGAGTTCAAGTGAGAAAGAATCTTAGTGAAAGAAATGAGAATAAATCTCAGCCATGGGATTGAATGATCCAACAGCTTAAAAAAAAAGGTAAAATTATATCTTCATTAAAGACATTATTGTAATTTCCACACCACACCTAAAGAGGTGGGTCTCACTCCACATTAATTGACTGCTAACTAACCTCCACCCTCCACAAAACTAATTCGATTTAAAAAAAAAATTATAATAATAATCGTTCTGATGCTGATCTCACACACACATACACATACTACACATACCAAATACACACACACAACCCCACACACACTCGTCAGCGCCACAACCAGCTCCACAGCAGCCGCCCCTTACATTTTTCGATTCCACTTCTCACCCTCGTCACGAGTCTCTTCTTCAGCGGAACTGTCGCCGGTTTTCAGAGGTTGAACGACTTCTCCTACACCACCACGCGCCGCCAGTTTTGCCCCTCTCTGTGGTGGTTCGCCTTAATTTCGCCGGCGAATGAGGCAATAAGGGTGGCATTTTGATTTCAACCAACACCTATCGCTCGGGCCATCGTTTGAAGAGATATACCCTCCACCGCTGCTCGTCGCCCTTGAATAACACCAGCCGACGCTGTGAACTCGCATTGATTCCGGCGGCTTGCGCCCTCCAACGTCGGCGCTGATCGAACACACTTAAAAAAAATGTGAAACCGGCAAGGAGAGGTCACCGGAGAGAGGATAAGCGGTTGGGGCGGTGTAGCCGGGTGGAGGTCTGCCACTGGTGACGAAATTGCACTGCTAGGAGATGAAGGAAGCAGTTGACAGCAGGGTTAGGTGGGGATGGGCAGGGGCAGCATGCAATTGAGGGATGGGAGTGATGTATGTTAGGGACTTTATTTTGAAAAATTGACAATATCTAGGGACTTAATTGCAGTTGTAGAATTTGTAAAATTCGTAATTTATAAAAAATATGTAAAAATATTTTTATATTTCTTATACATATATATATTATGAATTTAAAATATTTTTAAATAAAAACAATATAAAACATTAATTAAAATATTTTTATACTAAATAATTTTGATAATAAATAATAAATATATTTTTACATTATAAATAGTAAATTATTTGGGTTCAATTATAGTGTAGATTTGCACATAAAAAACACAGACTGCAAAATTCACAAGGTGCACATTAGTGACTACCAGACTGCAAATAGTGTTCAAACGAATGCATTTTAGTTCGCTCGAGAATGCACAATACCATAACAATGTGCATTTTTACAAATAATAAAAATTTCGGTAGTTCGGTCCATTTTCGAATTTATTTACATGCACCAAAAATAATAAATAAAATAACCGGACAAGCTATATAAAAAATATTATTTTTATATTTTGTCTATAGATATATATTATTTATATTAAACAAATAATAATATAAAATATTAAATAAATAATTATACATACTAATTGAAAAAATAAATAATAATTTAAAATATTATTATTTAAAATGATTAAATATTAAACTTTTAGGTTAATTAAGTTAACAAATAAAACAAACCAATTATTCCAGTCGGTTTTAATTTTGATTGGACACATCATTAAAAATGTACGTAATTCGAATGCACAATTATGTTAGACGGATTGCACATTATTGATCGACAGACTGCACAATAATGACCAAACTTACGAAGTGGGTCTAGGCCGAGCCATTGGCCAAGATCACAAAGGATAAAGTCATTAATTTTATGTATAACGATATTTGTTGTAGGTTCGGGGTACCCAAGGTGTTGATCTCAGACGATGGTACGTAGTTCAATGGAAAGATGATCAGAGCTTGGTGCGGGGACAAGAGGATCAACCAACATTTTGCATCAGTTGCACATCCCCAAGCTAATGGGCAGGTCGAGGTCATGAATCAGATTATACTGAAAGGATTGAAGACCAGATTGAAGAAGGCCTCGGGGGTATGAGTCGATGAGTTGACATCTGTTCATTGGGCATATAGGAAAACCACGAGGTCGACCGTAGGAGAATCTCTATTCAACTTGGCTTATGGCATGGAGGCATGTTGCCTATGGAGATCGAGTTGGAGTCTCATAGGTCGAGTACATACAATAAGGAGAAGAATGAGGAGTTCGCTCGAGCAGCCCTAGACACCATCGACGAGCTAAGGGAACAAGCGTCGACCAGGGTGGCAGTCTACAAGAAGCTTAAAATTCCACAATTCCAGGTGGGTGACCTGGTGTGGAAGAGGATCGACGTCTTGAAGCACTTGGGCAAGCTCGAGCCCAACTGGGAAGGTCGCTTGTTTGAACGACCCAGTGGCGGGTTGGGAAAGTTTTCAAAGCAAAATTCATCATGACTAAGGCTTTCGAGTTGGGCGGTCACTTGTTTGAATAATCCTAGTGGCGGGTTGGGCAAGTAGTCAAGACAAAATCTACCATGACTTAGGCTTCCGAGCTGAGTGGTCGCTTGTTTGAATGACCCCAGTGGTGGGTGAGTTGTGCAAGTGTTCAAAGCAAAATTTACCATGACTAAGACTTTCGAGTGGGGTGGTCACTTGTTTGAATGACCCCAGTGGCAGGTTGGGCAAGCGTTCAAGGCAATATTCACTATGACTAAATCTTTTGAGCTGGGTGGTCGCTTGTTTGAATGACCCCAGTGGCGGGTTGGGAAAGTGTTCGAGGAAAAGTTCACCATGACTAAAAATTTCTAGTTGGGTGGTCGCTTATTTGAACTGCTCCAGTTGTGGGTTAGGCAAGTGTTCTAGGCAATACTCACCATGACTAAGGCTTTAGAGTTGGGTGGTCGCTTATTTGAACGACCCTAGTGGCGGGTTAGGTAAGTGTTTAAGGCAAAATCTACATTTACTAAGGCTTTATATCTGGGTGGTCGATCCTAGTGTTGGATCACAGATGGAATTGAAAATTCAGAGATCACAACCCATTCCAAGTAAGGATGACAGATCGACCTTAGAAAGGGGGAAACGCAGAACGATTAACTGAGGTAATTCCAAGGTCTAAACTGCAAAGTTTTTAAGGATGGAACCAATTTTGGAGACCTTGGTCGAGTAAATAAATAGTCAAAATTATATTATATGGTATAAATTTTGGAGGCCTCAATGGCAAGTCGATAAAAAGGTAATTCACTTTGCACAATTTTTATTTAAAGGTTGTTATGCGAGACCTCAGTGGCAGGTCGAACGGAAGATTTACTCATAATCTCATGATGAGAAATTAGTTTTTAAAGACCTCAGTGGTAGGCTAATTAAAGGGGTTATGCTCTTGGTAAATTTCTAATTAGATGGTTATGGAATTAATTCTTGAAACCTTAGTGGAAGGTCAGCATACACAGTTGCAAAGCAAAATTGGAAAAAAGAACCACATCACAATCAAAACATGAAGATCAAAAGGACACGAATTTTTTATTTCCACAATAACCAAGGCAAATAAGTACAAAAAGTACAAGGCAAATATTCCAAGACAAAGCAAGATCTGAGTTACAACAACAGAAAAACCGATCAGGCAAAAAGAGGAGCAGTTGAGTCATTCACATTCGGCTCAAGGACCTTGGAGTCGCGAGCTGCTGCAGCGAGAGTCTCTTCATGGGGCTGGAGGGCATTCATAGCTCCATCCACACCCTCGACCACTGGATCAGTTGTTGGCTCCTCAATGGGAGGAACATGGGAAATTGGCTTGACAATCATGGGAATAGTAGGTAGACTCATGTAACGCCCCGTTTTATTTTAAAGAATTTATCGAATTTATTTATAAAAATTATGAGTTAATTTTTTGCAAATCTCAAATTAAATTTAAATCTCAACGGGAGCTACTTAACTACCAAGAACGATTAAACAAAAATATAAACACATCAGATTAAACCTACACATGCATAACTAACAGTTACAAAAATTATACCAAACATTTATTAGGTTCCAAAACCACCATAAGGTTGAAAACATAATTCCAAGGTTCAATCCGACATAATCAATTCATCCCAAAAACAAAGTAGGAAAGAAATCAAAGTCAAGGCAACAGTTTGACAATATCATAGATAAGTGGAAGCAAATAATACATAAATAAATAAACAAGACCACCCACTCGCCTTGTCTCATCACCGCCAACTGCTTAAGCTGCATCCGTGAAGAGCAGGTGGGAGTGAGTATAGTTGGAAAATATAGTACTCACCACTATGCATATGAACAACATAAAACATGTTAGGGTGGTATGGTCGCAACATGAACATAAACAATAATAAATCATGTCTGATCTCCTATACAATATCACACCATTTAACCTTACTTTTGTGCACATCTATCGCTAGCCACAGAACGGGGATTCATTACCCAAAAGCGGGAGTACGTGCCACTGTAACAGACACGGCCTTCCATATGGGCTTATGTACCTCACAAGGGCACGACCATATCAGGACTTAAGGAGATTGCCACACGGGGGCACCATACCGTAACTTGACGGGGAAAACCGTACCGACGGCCGTAACAGCTCACATCGATAGGCTACATGTTCACATGCATACATAGATCATACCGAATTTAACACATTTAAAATACACATGCATAGACTTTTTAGAATAGCTAATCCACCTGGATTCCGGATTGACAAAAGCAAAAACAGAAGGGACATAGGTCGAGGCTTGACTCCTCAAACACTTACATTAAGTCAAGATACGACAATCAACATTTATCTTGACTTTGAACGGAAAACACAAATCATACTTAGTCGAACTTGATTCGACTAAGCTGTTCGTGAAGCCCTGTGAACTTTGGAACTCTTGGACTTAGACTCGACCAACCAAACATGAGAGTTCACACAATTTCACATAAGAGATGGTCAAATCAAACAACAAGGGCAACATACGAATTGGCTTACCGACCTTAATACAAAAAACTACACTTTGAAAATAATTGCCGAGAAATCACAAATTCAAGATGGTCCAGCAAACCAACGAGTTAGGCTCTGAAATTTGAACACAAAATTTACCTCACTGGACTTAGTAAAATAACCAAATTTCAGCCCTTAACTCAAAACACACAATGTTATAAAATTCAAACAAGTTTACAGCAAAAATGAGCATAAATCCACAACCTGACCTAATAAGCGAATTATGACTTGAAATTTAGACAAGAGAAGCTACAAGCATGTCTGTGACAACATATAAAAATTCCAGCTATTGACATTAAACATACGAATTATAAAAATTAAAACAAGATTCTGCAAAATTCAAATTTTAAACAAAATTGAACCAAAATGAATTCAATTAAATCTAATCTTTTTATATCTTGAAACACATAACAAAATAAGCCCAGACACCAAGATTCACAAATTAACAACATCAGATAGATTTATCATAATTAAATCACGGTTCTGCAGAATACATGAAACAATTTTTAACCCTAGCAACCGAAGTCCACCAAACATGCAAATTATACACAACATTTAAATATTCCAGAGAGACAACATATTAACAATCCAGCAAATTTGGAGTACAAATATATTTAATATGCTATTTACACTATTCTGCCCAGAAATCAAAACAATTAATTAAAATAGCTACATTTAGTATTAAATTCTGAAACTTTTATACGACCTATATAATCAACAGAGGACATTACTCACAAAATTTTACATTAATTAGAGTAGCATACAATATATCACAAATTTTACAATTTCCGGCAGCAATATAGATTTTGAAAATTCATAACACTCAATCAACAACTCCAATTGACACAAGGTCAAAACCATTGTGTCAAGGACAGCCCTAAGTTCCTTAATCCACAGCGCTTTCATGTTTTAGCATAATCTCACTCGATTACACAAAAATCGAGAAGACTTCAACATACAATAATTAAAATTTAGCCAACATTTACATATTAATATTAACAAAGATCATACAACCTGTATCATCATGTATAAATCGTAAGGGCTAAGGTTAAAGCCTCGGTACCGTTCTTAGGAATACGTTCAAAAAACGGGACGAAGGAGGCGAACGGAAAACACGCGGCGGCGGAGCTCGGCGGCTACGCGCATCTCGCGGAGGAGCTGTGCGGCTCTTCTCGGCCAGCTGGGTTGCTACGATGGATGAGGACGACTCGTCAGAACTCCTGCTGGTTCGCGGCGGAGGAGCAGCGGTGCTTGATGATCGCTCACGGAGGCACCGCGCGAACAGGGCTCGCCGGATATGCTACTGTCGCGGAGGAGGCTCGCGAGCAGGGGCAGCGACGATGGTGATGGCGATCAGAAGTAGCAGGCGCGGCCGACGATCGGAAAATATGAGATGGCGATCGACTTCTTGACGTGAATGGCTCGGTCACAGCGAGAGGAGAGGGTGAGGAAGACGATGATGGTGGCCGAATCTTTCTGAACGAGAGAGATGAGAGAACTAGATATTTAATAGCTGCGGGCGAAATAAAAACGAGAAGGAGAAAGATAGTGAAGTCTGCTGAGGGTGAGAGAAGTGATGCACGATTTATTAGCCTAGGGTTTGTTTCTTATTACACATGAAACACACACCCACGCACAAAGGGAAGAAAACCGGGTCTGGGGCGCAGTTCAAGTGGGTGTGTGGTTCTCCCGGGCCGGGCGTGGGTTCTCGGGTTTAAAGAGTTCGGGTAGCTCTCGGGCTCGGTTCTCGATCGATAATTAAGAAAAAAATTCAGATAATATTTGTACATATAATACACACATTAATTATTTAATAATAATAATAAACATTTAGGCATTTAATTGCCAATTAGGCATTCAATAAATAATAATAATAATAATAAGAATAATAATAATAATAATAATAATAATAATAATAATAATAATAATAATAATAATAATAATAATAAGAATAACAATAAATAATATCAATAATGATAATAAATAATTTCAAATAATTCATAAATAAACGGGGCATTACAGTCTACCCACCTTACAAAGAATTCCAACCTCAGGAATCGAAAACAAAAGAAACTAACAACTAAATGAAAATACAAGGGACTCAAACGAGAAGTTCGGATATCTCCTCCTAATCTCGACCTCCTTCTCCCAAGTCGCCTCGGACTCATCATGTCGGCTCCACTGCACCTTCACAAGACTCACCACCCGGTTCCTCAGTTGATGGACCTTCTGGTCCAAAATGGCTACCGGTACCTCCTCATATGTAAGGTCGCACTCGACCTGCTATTCGCCGAAGTCCACCACATGGTCAGGATCATGTACATATCTACGCAACATCGAGACATGAAACACATCATGCACTCCCGAAAAATCCAGTGGTAAAGCCAGCCGATAAGCTAAGTCTCTGACTCGAGCAAGGATCTCAAAGGGTCCGATATAGCGAGGCCGAAGCTTCCCTTTCTTTCCGAAGAGAATAACACCCTTCATAGGCGAGACCTTCAGAAAGACATGGTCACCAATTACATACTCATGCTCTTACCGCTTCCGATCGGCATAGACCTTCTGCCTCTCCTGGGCAGACCGGATATTCTTCTGGATCAGCTCAACTGCTTCTGAAGTCCAATGAATGAACTCCGGACCCATAATTTTTCTCTCCCCGACCTCATCCCAAAACAAGGGTGTCTGGACCTTTCGTCCGTACAAAGCCTCGGGGCCATCTTGATCGATGAATGATAGTTGTTGTTATAAGCTAACTCGACCAACGGAAGGGCAGTATCCCAATTTAGGCTCCGGTCCAAGACCACAGCCCTCAAAATATCCTCCAAGTACTGGATCGTCCGCTCCGACTGACCATCTGCCTCGGGGTGAAAGGCGGTGCTGAACTCCAACCTTGTCCCCATGGCTCAGTGCAGAGTCCTCCATAATTGACTCATGAACTTCGGGTCTCGATCAGACACAATCTCCACGGGCACCCCATGAAGTCGAACAATCTCATCAACGAAGATGGCGGCTCAAGATCAGCCCCATGAAAACCTTATATTCCCCGAGCCATATTGGTCCTGTCAGTTTCTCAATCGAAAAACTTGGCATAAGCACTAGCCTTCATAGTCGTCCGGACGGGCAAAAAGTGGGCGGACTTCGTGAGTCGATCCACAATCACCCAAATAGAGTCGTGAACGGACTTCGATCTCGGCAATCCCACCAAGAAGTCCATGGTGAGTCGCTCTCATTCAACATGGGAATCTCTAGTGGCTTCAACAGCCCTCTCGGTTTCTGGTGCTCAGCCTTCACTTGCTGACACACTAGGCAACCGTTCACGAATCGGGCTACCTGCCTCTTCATACCTTGCCACCAAAACGACTTCCTGAGGTCCGGGTACATCTTCGAGCTACCAGGATGGATGGTATATGGGGCACTATGAGCTTCTCTCAGAATCTCCTTTTGCAGGTCCCACACCTTCGGAACACATAGTCTACCCTCGAAGACTAATGCTCCATCAGATGCGACTGCGAATCCTCCAACTCTATTGGCTTCCAACAAGTCCTTCATCCGGCACAGAAAACGATCGTTCGGCTGCTCGGCGACTATCCTCTCACGAAGAGTCGGTCCCACAACCAAGGCGGTCAACATACCACCGGTCGTCGAAGTCGACTCCACTGCCTCTAACTGTAGTCTCTCGAACTCCCGAACTAGGACATCTCGTTCTGTGAATAGACAAGA